GCGCCATACTGCCGTGGTTGCCCGACCGGGTAAACCTGCTGCCCGACCGGGTGCGTGGATCCTGAATGCTGCTGGGTCGGCTGCTGCCCAAACGGCTGCTTGGGAGAAGAAACAGCCGCGCCAAACGCCTGATGAAGGGACTGGGACTCCTGGGGCTGGGAGCAGAGATAAAGGACCCACTGCTCTAACTCAAAAAGATGATTACGGAGAGTCTCAAATGGGAAATGTTTTCCAAATAATGACACAGCAGTGAATAAAGATTCATACTCAGGTCCTAGTCCCATAATAGTAGTTTTTAAAATTTCACGCTGAGGCACAGGGCAATTGATTGTGGCAAGATCATCAGCTAATGTTTTAATTTCTCGCAAATAATTATCCATGGACTGATCAGGTTTCTTTTTAATTTGATTAAATAAACGCTTTAATTCCATAGATCTCGCTAAACTGGCAGACATAAACCGAGATTCCAACCGCTCCCAAATTTCATATGAATGTTTTAAATCACGTACATCGATAAGAACATCCCTAGATAGGGTTGCAAATAACCATGAACGGATGGCTTGATCAATTCTCAACCAAGTAGAAAATTCGGGATTGAGAGTTTGACGGTTAAGAGCATCTATTGAATAAGCAGGGGGTACCTGAATGGAGCCATCAACCATGCCCAATAGAGCTTGTGAAACTAAAAACGATTCGAGTTGTGTCCTCAGAGTGGTGTAGTTTTCTACCGCCAATAGTTTAGTAGTCACAATATTTGTGACATTGGTGGCCACATGAGATATTGTTTGAGCCAAATCAACAAGAAGTGATCCGGCCGGGCTGCCTGCGGGTGTGCGAGAGGGAGGAACAACGGAGGACACACCAGGTGAGCCAACGAACGTGGGGTCAGCAAAGGACGGATCGGCCGAGAGGGGCGGCGGCTCTAGAGGGATAGCCTGCACGGGAATTGGAGCCGACCAAGGGAACACTGGTGGTACATGCTGAAATAAAGAGTATGGCATAGATACCCGGCTTGGTGATGCAAAGTTGGAGGAGAAAGTCACATCGGAAGAGGCGGAGGAGATTGGCGGCAGCGAACCAAAAGAAGGATGTGCGCCGGTGGTGGTGACTGAGCTGATCGGCGCAGCGACGGTTGGCTGGCCCGGTGATGTCAACGTGTTGAAGGAAGCGGAAGCGGCGGTCGACATGTTGAAGGTGACTGGCGGCGCCGAAGGAGAGAGGGCGGCGGCGGCGCTAGGTTGGCGATGCCGAAGGAGAGAGGGCGGCGCTAGGGTTTAGTGAGAGAAAATAAAATTATAGAGCTCTTGATAACATGTGAGAATAATGGAAAGGTTAGTCTCTTAGGAGCTCTGACAGATATATTTATATTAAAGAGAGTTTAATGTAAAGTACAATACTAAGCCTCTAATATTTATATTAAAAAGGTGCCAGAATGATTTGGCCAGGAAATTATATACCCCTATTATTATACTCTATATTAGCTCGTAGCAGTGTCAAGTTATCTATAATACAGAGTATGATAAGTTATCTATAATAAAAGAGTAATGTTAAACAAATAAAGACAAGCTTCCACCATTTGCAATTTTGCAGGCATGCCCGCACTTCCAAGCTGCAGAAATTATATACCACCGCTATTATCGTTCTTGTGGGCGGAACCGTCGTCCCACCATCTCCATTCGAGTGTAATGTTTTAATAATCGAGAGAACTATAAAATAAGTCCTGGTCTCAATTTTTCATAAAAAGTGTAAATAAGCCATAAAAAGGCTTTGTCCGGCTGTCGTCATTTGGGGTGATTTTCGGTGGAATATTTTGATGTCATTTTTGAGCATCTTCTTCATTAAGTCTAGTTTACTCATACCAAATTTAAGCTAAAAATTCAATCGAGAAGGCAGTCAAATGATTTTCTGAAATATGTTGTGCTGTCTAACTACGCAGTTATCTTCAAAAATTCATTTGAGTGTCTTTCCGATTTAATGTTTAGCTAAAATTTGGTATGACTAAACTAGACTTAATGAAGAAGATACTCAAAAAAATTTATCAAAAACTTCCACCGGAAACCGCCCTAAATGACGATAGTCGGACAAAGCCTCCTATAAAAGGGCTTCACTTTTTATGAAAGTTCGAGGGCTTATTTGCACTTTTTATGAAAGTTCGAGGGCTTATTTGATAGTTCTCCCTTAATAATTTTGGGGTAATTTGAGTTTGCACCCCATTTTATTGTCCAAATTGGACTTTGCACCCCTTTTTTAAAAATCTTTGTTTTTGCACCCCAACCCTATATGAAAAGACAAAAATGCCCCTCCATTAACAATTTTGGTGGCTTTCAACATATTCTTGATTGAGGGCATTTTGGTCTTTTCATATGGGGTTGGGGTGCAAAAACAAAGTTTTTTAAAAATGGGGTGCAAAGTCCAATTTAGACAATAACATGGGGTGCAAACTCAAATTACCCCATAATTTATTTAACAATTTTTTTTATTGAATGTGAAGATGAAATCTTGTTGACATAGTGCATGTTTTTGACAAGCATAAGTCTGTCTTCTAGTTTTATACTATTAAAAAAGTCTTTGAAAGTTTCAAGTTGTAAATTTGACATGACAATTTTTAGGATCTTTTGGAAAAATAAAAGATCTTTTTTGAGATGTTAGAGAGAGTAACATTTGAGAAGGGTCTGTTGCTTTTAGCATTAGTCAATCCTAACAGTTTGCATACCAAACAGAACTAAATCACAATCAGCTTTTTACTAAATAGTTACTGATGGATAGTGTACCCGGGGGGTATCTATCCGAGGGGTTACTGCGGGAGTAACTTAGAGAGAAGTCAGAGCAAAAGTAGAGAGAGAGTGTATATTGATGTATTGCTTAAAGCGTATTGAGCGTAGTTTACAATGGGGAAAAGGGGGCTATTTATAGCAGCAATAAAAGCGAGACGAGGACACGTGTCAAGCATCTGACGGCCGAGGGTCACGTCAATCGGAGTGGCACTGGCAATTGCATGTGGCCGCATTAAATACGGCGGTTGGATGTGACGTTGTACTTGGTACGACGATCTGGGCGCAGGTGGAGAGGAGATTCTATCGAGGAAGGTGCCCTCGTCTGCAGATGACTAGCCGACGGCTCTTCATGCCGGGGGCCTCTCAGTGCCGAGGGCTCTAGGTGCCGAAGGCTACTGATATCGCAATCTTCTCCCAGCAGCTTCGTAAGCCTAAAACAGCTGTTGTGTGAGAATTTGGGGCCTTCGGCCAGGGGACCGAAGGCGGCTGCATGGGCAGCGTGGGCCTCCTGTCACTTGGGGCGCTGTGACTTGGCCTGCTGTGCTTCCTGGGCCTGTTGAGCCTGTATTAGAATAGTGGGAGTCTATGAACCGGGGGTTCCTGGGCCATGTACTCCATCAGTTACTAAAAAAACTCACAAAAATATCTATTCAACTAGTTGTGCCAAACATACCCATAATATATAATTAATGAAAAACATTGCTCACAAAATTTCATCAAGTATTTCAACTCACAAAATAGCATGAAATCATCTCAAATGAAGGCGGTTGGACGCAGGGACAGATCCAGGATTTCGAGTCAAGGGGGGCGAATTTTGTTTGTTTGTGGAGGGTGTGAAATTCTTTTCGCTAATGTACCGAGGCAATTTTTTAGCTAGTGTAACGGGACGATTTTTTTTGCTAGTGTAGGGTTCTGTGACTATTTTTTATTCAAAAAATTTCATTAATACACATACACAACGGCATTTAAATATATTACATTCTAAGTTTAGATAATGAAAAAATAACTTTGATTTTTTAATTGAAATGATCTAGAAAAAAATATTGATACATTAAAGTGTGAGAAATGGTAAATCAAAGAAAAATTATTTGAAAATAAAAAAGGATATAAAACATTTTAATTATCAATTTATTTGAAAATATAAAGTTTAAAACGTACACATTCACCAATACTTATTAAATAACTTCTGCCTTATTTAACCAATTCAATGAATTTTATCACAATACAGATTTGGCTTTTGAATTTCAATAGTATATGTATGAGATTATTATTTCTAGAATAATATTATATTGGTGCATATTGTATTTGTATTATATGGTGCATATTATATTACTAATTCATATATATGGTGCATATTATATTTGTATTAATGCTAAAATAAGTTAAAGCTTACAGAGTATTATCTATGCAATAAATTATTTTTATAAAGTAAGAACTAAACGATTTGTGTAACTTAATATCAACAAACATTTATATTTTGGATTTACTGCACATGATCTAGAAATTGTTTTACTAGTTAGTGTGTCTGGTATTTAATATTATTTGATATTTTTCAAAATCGAGTACTAATTACTACATATCTAATAAAGATAATTAAACGTTACAAAACCAAGATTTTTTTTATAATAAACATCCTAAGTCTTAAATAGTGAGTTATTCTAATTGTTTATTTGTTTAAGTTATGTATATTATTCTAGATGTATCTTCTTTAAAATCTCTAATTAAGTACTCCCTCTGTCCCCTTGAGTTTGTCTCATTTTATCTTTTTCTTCCATCTCATTAAGTTTGTCACATATTATATTTGGTAATGTTTGGATGATTACAATTCACGCTTACTTTATTCACACTTGATTAATTCAAAACCAACCAAACATAGTGGGACAGAGGTAATATTATATTATGTAAGACTATATATTAATTTTAAAAACTACGTAGTAGAAGTTAAGGGGGACGAACACATATATACCTTATTAAAGTATGAAAATTTTATAAAAATATTACATACTTCGTATATATAATATAAAATTTTGAAAGTCCAAGTGAGCGTTCGCCCCCGCCCCCTAAATCCATCCCTGGTTGGACGATGATTCTGATTAGTCCAAATTAACAGAAACGATTCTCAATAAGAAAAAAAGATGACACCCCATCCGAACGATCCTCTATATATATACATAAATAAATCACATCTGCACTACTTATTTAAGTGTGATTTTCTCCCTTCCATGTGGACATTCAAGAAAATAATTTTAATATAGTTAGAATGGACTTTCTTCTTCTTTTGGTCTGGCATAATTCCTTACTATTAGGCATAGTTGGGCTGCTTTTAGTCGTCTGGGCCATACAATCACGGGGGCGAATAAAAAAGAACAGAAACAAGTTGTTACCGCCGCCGGAGGTGAGGGGTGCATGGCCTCTGATTGGACACCTCCGGCTGCTAACCTCCGGGAAGCAACCACTGGCTCGAACGTTGGGAAGGATGGCCGATGAATACGGACCCATATTTACAATCCGGGTCGGGATGCAGCGGTCGGTCGTCATCAGCAGTTGGGAAACCGCCATGGAAAGTTTCTCTGCTAACGACAAGCTCCTTGCCGATCGCCCCCATAGTTGTGCCGGTAAAATTGTAAAAACTCTCTCCAATTTAATACGGAGATATTACCCGAAATAGGACTAAAACAGTATTGAATGAGAAAATTCCTGAAATATGACTAAAACAATTTGAAAATTCTAAAATAGGATTGTCATGTTTTTTATTCCCAAAATAGGACTAATTACTGTTATGTTTAAAAAATACTGACATATTTGAAGTCTGGTACAGCCAAAACTCCTTGAATAGGAGTAAATTTCGACAAGCTCCTTGCCCCCATAGTTGTGCTGGTAAAAACTCTCTCCAATTTAAGAGAGAATTCCCTAAATAGGACTAAAAAAGTTTTCAAAATCCAAAATAGGAGTATCATGTTTTTGATTTCTTGAATAAGAGTAAATTTCTACCAAGTTTGGCATTACTAGACTATAAAATATGACATTTTTTCCCAAACTTGACAGATTACTCTTATTCAGGGAATAAAAAACATAATACTCCTATTTTGGAATTTCAAAACGTTTTTGTTCCTATTTAGAGCAATTTGTAATTTAATAACTGGGTATGACCTATCCAAATTTGAGATAAGCTTTTATTTTTAGGGTCCTACGTGTGTGAATTTGTACTGCAATGAAATACTTTGTAATTTTTTTTGAAGTCCACAAAGATTTGGTAACACAAAAATCGATTGATTCGACTGATTCTGCTGAAATTTATGAAGTTATGACTGAAGTGGCTGCATTGGCTGATTCTGTTGATTTAAGAAAAAATTATTTTTAAAAAATATTTTATTAATAAAATAATTAAAAAATTATATGTAAAAATAGCTAAATGATCATCTACATTAACTTCAGCCAATACAGCCAGAAAAGTAACTCCAACCTTACTTTTTCTTATTATTACACAATTCAGGGCGCGAAAGCAAAAGTTACGTGTATGATGAAAAAGTTGGCATATAAGCCTGATAAGCCGAAAAACAGTGGTACCAAACGACCTCTAAAAGAAGGTGGGTACCAGTGCCGCTTAAATTAACAAAGGCACCATAGAAATCTCCTTATTTTTACTTATGTGTAAGAATTATGTGTAAAAAGATATTTCAAAAATTCTTGGGACCGATTAAGGATGTTTTTACTTGGACTGTAATTCCTCCCAGACCAGACCAGACCAGACTTGGATAGTTATAAAAATACAAAGAAACCAGACCAGACCAGCAAATTACAGTCCAAGTAAAAACATCCTAATTGTAACTTTTGTTCCTGCTTGGGTCTCTTTAAACATGAGCCGGTTTGGCTGAAGTTACTTTTCTGATTGTTTTGTCTAAAGTTACTATAGGTGATCATATTAGTTATTTTCATATAATCCGTATATTTTTATTTAATTTACTAATAAAACATACTTTAGATAGTTTTTAATAAATCTGCTAATACAAGCACTGCAGACAAAACTTCATATATTTAAATAGAATCAACAGATTCAGACAATTTTAATTGGCTAATGGGTCAAATAGGCCCCGGTAGCGATCATGTAAGCTCAATTCAGTCCCTGAACTGAAAAATGGTTCAATTCACACTCCAAACCGACAAAAAGGTTCAAATTTCATATTTTAAGGTTAAACAACCGGTAAAAATGTCCAATTCGCACCCCTAAACTATTAAAAAGTGTCAAAATTGCAATAAATCGAAAATAAAAAACAGAAACAATTTAAAAATTAAAAAATGACCGATTGTTTACCCGTAAAAATGAAATTTGAATAATTTTTTGTCGTTTCGAGGTGTGATTTAACCTTCTTTTAGTTCAAGAACTGAACTGAGCTTACATGACCGGTACATAGACCTATTTGACCCTTTAATCATTTTAATATTATCAAACGGAGTCAAAATATTACACTATGCAATTTCTTACCATGCAATTTTAATGTTGTAGATTGTTAGAACAATTAGGTCTTGCATTATTTATAGTAGATACTCCTCCGTTTGACCAATTCTTGACCATTTTTTATCAATGCTGATTATTTTTGGATAATAACTTTAGTTATTATATTTGTATGAAACTTTTAATTTTTGAAAGTACTTTTAATAAAGCACATTTTCATATAATTTTTAAATTTGATATAATTTGATATTGAAAAATATTATTGGTCAAATCTGAAAATTATTGACAAAAAGGTGTGCCCAGCCCAAAACAGGGGACTAAAGAAGTACAAAACAAGGGCTGATATTTGTAGCGGTTTGGGTGGGCTCAAACTCAGCCCAACTTGTTTTAATTATACATATAAGTTTAATGAAAATTATGTCCTTCTCAGGCCAAAATAATATCCAAAGCTCAGACATACTACCCATAACCATGCGTTCCAAAGAAATGTTTTTCTTGAAATGTTTAACGTACAAGATGGGAGATGATTTTGTTGAAGATTCACTTATGATCTACATTAAATAAGATTTTGTCAATAATATAAATTTAAATTCTATTATTGATCAATTTTATATTTTGGAGTCGCGTTGGGCATAATTTAAAGCATACAACTAATTCTCCTTGCATAGACTGTAAATACCCGGAGGAGACAAAAAAGGAAACTTGTATGTGGATTGTTTAGAAATAAACGTAATTTAATTCAATTCTTAGAGGCCCTACATGGTCAAATTTATACAAACATTTTTCATTATTTGTGATTTATATACAAAACAAGACTAATAATTGTACTTATAACACATGCACTGTGTCCATTTAAGACTACTCTAGTACAATAATAGTATTACAATGGTGGGCGTGTTAAAATGTTTTCTTTTGAATTGAAATTTGTTAGTCTGGTCTAATCTAGTCTGTTTGAGTCTGGTATGGTATGATATGATATGGCGTGAACTGGTCTGGTCTTACATGGTTCGGTAAATGTCCAGTCTCTGTGCATTTTATAAGTTATAACTATGGAAGTCTGGTCTAGTCAGCTGATCTATTTAAGTATGATCTAGTTTGATCTGTTTAAATCTGGCCTGGGGCTGTAAACAGTCCAAAAGAGAACATCCTTAGGCTACACACGAGCTTATATATAGTGGCAGACTCATAAATATATTATTAGATTGTTAGCGCTTTGAGTATTTTATATTGCCGTGACAAAGATTAAAACGTCATCAAAGTATGCACCATATCCTTGATTAGCCCCCCACACCACAGGACCCTTTCTGCCTTTCACCTTCATTAGTAGGGTATAGTCATGTAATTATACCTAAAATAAGTTTTCTTTACTTCGTATTTAGGAAATAAAAACATGAAAGTTCTATTTTGGAATTTCAAAACGTTTTTACTCCTATTTAAGACAATTTCTATTTATGTAATTAGAACTCTTTTACTATATACTCCTATGTAAGTGTAGTGACGTGCACTTTGTCGTGGTGTGCACTCAAAATAAATATCAATACAACATTTATACGTAGTATAATGAAGTAAGGTTCGTATCCACATGGAAAGAAATATTTCTCTTTTAATTAAATAGTTACAAAGGGGTTTTTATGATTGTCGATGAACTTAAATGTATTTAAACACTAAGATGAACGACTTATGTGTTTTAGTTAATAGAGATGACGACTTGCCTTTGCTTTTTATCCACTTAATGAAATGTTCGTTGATCCCGATTATATCTTTAACTATCTTCCTCTCGAATACTCAATCGAGGAGTATCTCCATTTCATCGAGGGTAGTTATTAATAACGAGACACGTTCATTAATAAAATTTACTACCGAGTCAATATAGAACACGCACAATAAACTTAAGATGAAAACGATTGAGATTGATAACCTCAACACAAGCGGTTTATTGGTTTAAAAAATATAATTAATTCTCCTTAGATTATTAACCATGAGACACATGCATTAATAATCCAAGTTTACTACCGTTGAAAGAACCGAATTAATAACAAGCACATTAATCGATTGATTCTAGTAATAATTAATATATGAAACAAAACTAGTTGATCCTTTAAGTAATGTTCAAAATATTAACTTGAAATATGAATAAGAATTAATTAATATTCAAGGAAGAAGATTAAAGAAAGTAAAAGCTACTATAATTAACGTCGAGATGCTAACTAATTGTCATCTTAGCAACACTCCCCAACATTAATATAGAGCTAGATTAAATTAATATTCAAGGAAGAAGATTAAAGAAAATAACTCACAACTTACAATTCATTAAGCTTCAAAGTAGCAAAACCAAGATGGAAGAGTTTAGCTCCTCATTTGGAGACTAAACATGATGAAAATATAAAGAAAGAACTATTCTAGACTGAGCTTAGAAGTATATGTGAATAGATGATTTTATTGTGAAGGAAAAGAGTGTATTTATAAGCTTTTGGGAGCTGCAGGGTCTGATACCCGACCGGGTATATAAGATACCCGACCGGGTACCTTCGGTGGGTTCCCGGAAGCTGGAAAAGTGGGACATACCCGATCGGGTATGTCGGTCACCCGATCGGGTATGAACACTCGAACATGGTTAAAAATCCTCTTGCACGTTGCCTTGTCCCGGATCCGATCCGATTTGAAATTTGAGCAAGATACCCGATCCGGTATAGGTCATACCCGACCGGGTATAGACCCAAAACCAGGATCCCTATTTTTGTCTTGTGATTTTGCACATTCCTTCAACTTTTGGGGTACACCAATGAACCCTTGAGTCATCATGGAGTTGTTTGAGCCTAAAATAAATCTAATCTAGATAAATTACAAACATTTTTACAAATTAAATTATTACACCAAAAGTGTGTAATTTCCAAATTAACAATTTATCAAAACTAATTAAAAATACAAAATAAACTTGGAAATTACACGATTATCATGTACCATGATCATTATTCTCACACATCCCGCAGGAAAGTACATTGGATACGAGTATGCAGTATTGCCATTCGCACTTCACGGACCGTTCTGGCGGAGCATGCGGAAGCTGGTGGTGGTAGAAATGCTCTCAAACAACACCCTGGACAAACTAAAGCCTGTTTGGATGTCGGAATTAGACACCAACCTCAAAGGACTCTTCAGTCGCACAGGAAAGGCGTTGGACATAAGTGAATGGTTCGGACGCTTGACGATGAACATAGTCGTTAAGCTGCTCGGCGGAAGAACAAACGACCCTAACAAGGAGGCCGCCGCCATAGACGCCGACGAAGAGGAGACACGTCGAATGGCTAAAGTGTTTAACGAAATTATGCGCCTCACCGGGGAGCTTGCTCCAGGAGATTCATTTTACCCGTCTGGGTTGGTTAGGTGGTTGGATTTTGGCGGAACAATTGCGTCCATGAAACGAGCCGCTAAGGAATTGGATGGTATCTTTCAGAAATGGATAGATGAGCATGTGAAGAGGAGATCAAACGCTGCTGCCGCCGGTGGCGGTGAGGACGACCGGGACTTTATTGACGTATTGCTTTCTGTCATTGACAGTAAATTCGAGTCTGTAGGCCATTCTTACACTCGCGAAACTGTCATCAAGGCCGCATTGCATGTATGTTTTAAATTTAGTCGATTTCAATACGAAGGGAGTACTATTATGTAAAAATGTATGAAATGACAGTTTTGGTTGCTTTGTATGTTCAGAGTGTACTAGTAGACGGAGCAGACACGCTGGGCCTGAATTTGGAATGGGTATTGTCCGTATTACTGAACAACCCACTTGCGTTGAAGAAAGTCCAAGAAGAGATGGAGACCATAATCGGCAGCAATGAAAGATGGGTACAGGATTCTCACATTGAGCAGATGGTGTACTTCCAGGCTGCTGTCAAAGAAGCTATGCGGCTATACCCAGCAGCCCCTCTTCTATTCCCGCACAGGGCCACAGAAGATTGCACCATCGGCGGGTATGTCGTTACAAAGGGCACCATCTTGTACCCCAACGCGTGGAAGATCCACCGGGACCCACGGGTGTGGCGGGAGCCCGAAAAGTTCTCGCCGGATAGATTTCTGGGGCTTGACGAAAGAGAAACGGATCCGAGCAGGCATTTTGGGTACATTCCTTTCGGGATCGGGAGGCGGTCGTGTCCCGGAATTTCGTACGCTTTGAAAGTGACACATCTCGCCATTGCCCGTTTGATCCAGGGGTTTATCATCACAACTCCGGGGAATATGCCGGTGGACATGTCGGAAGGGCAAGCCATCACTTTACTTAGAGCAACTCCACTGAAAGTGCATATTACTCCTAGACTACCATCTTCTTTTTATGAATAGAAGTAGTTTAGGTTGCCGAAAACTCCATAATCCGTGTATGGCTCCAAATAATATCTCACTCTCTACTAGTTTGGTGTGTCTAAATTATGTTGAAGTTACTGTTTTTATGTCAGTGTACATTCCCTCATAATGGAAGGAGGTGAATAAATTGTCCTTTGTTTATCATTGTTTAACTATGGGGTGGTTTTAGATCATGAGAATGAGAATGGTCATCAAAAGTCTGTCTCTTGATCATGAGAATGGTATTGAAATTTGTCTTTCTCATTTTGAGTGAATCTTTTCTCAAGATCTTGTTTAACCCTTTATCTTGGATCATATGCTTGGTCATTGTATACCTGTGTTTCTGTTCTAGTTTAAATTGTTCAATTGTTCTAATTTCTACTAAGTTCTTTACAAATATTATCTATCGGCTTGAATAACTTACATGCTTGATTGAGGAAATGAAAAGGAAAATGGGAATCAAGATCACAAGGAGGGGTAACAGAGGTTTGGTCGGATAATTGAAAATATGAGAGGGAGAGATCAAAACTAATGGACAACAAAGAGTTATAGTTTAAGAAGTTCAACCGATTACCTTAGAGCTGTGACGGAGCTAGAGATTCATATGAGTGATGTCAAATTTTTAAACCAAATCATACATCTATGATATGATATTGAAAATAAATTCATTGATAATCATATGTTTTCTACAATTATTCGAGTCAATATTTCAAATTTAATGTCTATCAATCCGGAACCTTAAAGATAAAATGTGTCGGTATAAGGTTCGAATGATTGAAAATTTTCAATCTAAGACATACATTGTCATGAATTTTACTATTTTTGTATTTAAAAGATTGAAAATATTATTTAATTCTATTAAACTAATAATATTTTGTGAAGAAATATTCATAAAAAATTAGCAATTGAATTAATAAAAAAATTAAATAAACCAAATTAAAAGCTATGGAAATTTAGGTCCTAGATTGATAGTTTCAATCTTATTAGCCTTATACTGACATATTTCATCTTTAATATGCCGAATTGATAATTCATCTATGTACAGATCCTAGATTGATAAAATTTCGAAATATCACTAGTTATTTCATATCTCAACAATCCTAATATATAACGAGAACATTACAAGGTCAGTATATGGTATCAAATTCGATCATTCAAATGGCATCACTGTCACACTTCTAAGGAGGAGGTCACAGGTTCGACCATCCCAATCCAGGATGTTCTTGTCATTCTTCTCTTTACAACTCTTACAAAAAAGTGTGATATATCTCTTAATGTAAGTGCCAATGTTGATACATGATATGATATATTATGGAGAGAAAGCAGCAATAGTATAATTTAGTTTAATAAAAATAACATAGTATTACAAGAGTGCTCGATCATGGCCTATTTATAGACGTTAACAACACATCAACTAATTAAATGATCGATAATTGGCCATGACACAATATATGAACCAATTAATACTAACACTAATGGACTAGTTGGGTCGTGTAGTAGGCCTGACCAAGCCCACTCTAGGGTAGAACGGGCCCAGTAGTATATTACCCCATTGGTTAGCTACTGGTTGATTTTTGTGAATCGGTTACTAGTGAAGATTATTATTGTGAACTTTTCAAATAGAGATTATTTTCACAAATACTTGAGGTATAAGATGTACACTAATTAGTAGTGCATAGATGTATGTTTTTATGTTTCATTGATGGTGATTGTTTGACGTTTTATTTAGTTTGTAAACATTTGTGTGATTTTAGTTGTAATTGTATTTTAGTTCTCATTTGTAAGTTGTAAAGTAGAATTAGGAATTAGGATGTTGGAAAGGAGGATGTTGAAGTGAAGAAAAAGGAATTTTGACTGTCCAGGAGCAAATACCCGACCGGGTAGGAAACTTCACCCGGTCGGGTCTGATTTGAAAACCGAACCACTGAGGAAAGAGCTGGGCCCGGTCGGGCCCCATACCTCACCCGGTCGGGTGAGAAGTGACCGGGGACAACCCGGTGTGTGAAGATCACCAGAACGTGAGGAAATATCCGATTTTGACCGGACCCGGTCGGGTGAGCACTTGACCCGGTCGGGTACCCGGCCAAAGGTGTTGTAAAACACCTATAAATAGCCCCATTTTCCTTCACTTTTGATCATCCCTTCTTCCATACTCCTAAGCTCAGTTTAGAATAGCATTTCTTTCTATTTTTCTAGCTATGTTTAGTCTCCAAATGAGGAGCTAAACTTCCATTCTTGGTGTTGCTCTTTAAGCTTGTTGATTATTAAAGTTGTGAGTTATTTTCTTAACTTCTTTCCTTGAATATTAATTAATAGTTCTTTCCTTAATACCATCTCTATATTAATGTTGGGGAGTGTTGCTAAGATGACAATTAGTTAACATCTCGACATTAGTTAGAATGGTATTTTCTTCCTCTATATTAATGTTGGGGAGTGTTGCTAAGATGACAATTAGTTAACATCTTGATATTCATTATAGTAGGATTCATCTTCTTTAATAATATTCTTCCTTGAATATTAATTAATCCCTATTCATATTTCATATTAATATTTTGAACATTACTTAAAGGATCAACTAGTTTTGTTTCATATATTAATTATCACTAGAAACGATCAACGAACCGATGGTTAATCGTTGATGGTTTCACAAGTAAGTAACTTCGGTTTATTAATGCACGGTCGTGGTTAATAAACTTAAGAGGGATTAATTTTGTTGGTTAAACCGAAACCGTTGTGTTGAGGTTATTAATCTCAATTGATTTCATCAAGGAGTTAGAAAGATTAAATGCTACTATTAAATCGGTATAAAGCGTTGTTCTATATTTGATTAATAGTAAGGGTTATTAATGAACGGTTGTTGTTAATAACTACCCTCGATGAAGTAGATATACTCTCCGATTGAGTATTCGAGAGGGAATAAGTTATAGATATAACAATGATCGACTAAAATATATCAACAAGTGGAAAGTAGCAATGCCAAGTCCTTTTTATCTTTGAATTAAATCTCATATAGGTTGTTCATCTTAGTTTTTAATTTAATTAAACCATTCATCACCAAACCCCCCCCTTTATTTACTAAGTTTCATAAAAAGAGAATGATTCCTTTCCCTGTGGATACGAACTCTACTACGCTATACTACGTATAAGTATTTAGTATTGAATTTATTTTGACGCACCGTGACAAAGTGCTCGTAAGTATATAAGAATTATTTATATCAATTTCGACTTCTTATTTGTGAAGAATTAATTCTTGTTTTTCAAATTGACTCAGATTATACTACTCCCTCCGTCCCATTAGATTTTACTAACTTTCCTTTTTTGATTGTTCCAAAAAACTTTATCTTTTTCCAATTAAAGTAACTTAATCATACTCTTTACAGTAAAAGTGCTCTATTTTCGCTGAAAACGCTAAATCATAGAGGCTCAATCATACTCGCTCCAGGGTCAATCCTGAGAAAATGGAGATCATGTGCAACAAATAAAAATTGGGCCCTTTTCAAATTCCATGTAAGTTGCAAATGAACACAATAACATAAATAAAAGTAGTCATTAATAAAATACTTTCATTTAAAAAGACACATTTTTCTGGCTTATTTAGAGGCAAAGTCATCTGCCAAATATAATTATTGAAATTCTCTTGTACATGTATAAAAAATCTAACTTAAAATTCAATTTACATTTTCGGTGAAATTATGAAATAATTATAATTTATAAACCTAAAGATATACTTAGTAGTTACGTAATAACATATTTACACCAATTTCTTAAATCTTAATTGAATAATTGTTAAACACGCTTATTCTCAATTGCAAATAGACACAACAATTAGGCAACAAGTAGGATAACAACAAGAACAAACTAATTTCACTAATTGCAATTCAAAGAATCAAAGAAATAAAAAAATTATAGAACTTACGGCCCAGGGAAGGTGGACTGTCGAACAGGTAGGGCGTCGTGCACCCGTTTGGACGGACGGTGCGCTCGTGATTTTAAAGGCTTGAGAAGGGACGTAGTTGCGCGGTGGCAGGCTAGAGAGAGGGCTTCGCTAGCTCGCTGCGAGGCATCGGAGCTCGTCTTCTAGTCTTCCGCACTCCGCAGAGTTCATTCGTAGCTCTATTTTTCCTATTCTCAGGTCATAGCAAAAAACCTGGGCTAAGTAATACTACTACTAATTTTTTATTTTTGGGCCTTCTAAAATATTGGGCCCTGTGCGATCGGTCTGGGTAAACTTGCCCTGGGCCAGTCCTGCTCGCTCAATCAGACAGAGGTAGTAATGATTTGAACCAATCAAATCAGTGCATGTACGGTAACCCGTTTTTTAAATGGGTAATGGAGTTGTTCCCTTTTTATTATTCATATTTGTCATTTGGCGTTTGCCATAGTATCGAGTGGCCTGCGTTGAACGCAACGGAGCCGTTTAACAATCCAGAATTAGAATATACACATGAATGATTTATGAGCACTGAGCAGAGTGGGTATAATAATAATTGCTCACAGATATTTTATAACCACATCCTCTCAAGTTGCATCAATACAGCAATAAAATGATAAATTAATAAACACACATACTTGTACCGTTGTACGCAGGAAGAGGGGCGAGGGCCTCGACCAAGACAATGATTATCAGGGTATATATATGCATAAATATTTTTAGACCCGTTTCATAATATAGGATGTATCGACTTATTCTGGTGAAATTTAATTTGTATAAAATTCTGGATGAAGTGATTGGATTGATTGATTCTGCTAATTTAGAATAAAAAAATTTAAAACATATTTTATTAATGATGTGACCCTATATATACACTACCATTTTGGTGTCATGGCACTCATTGGAGATAGGGTAACTAATTAATGAGAATGGCTATGGAATATCTTCTTCGCTTAGCCTCAAATCATTCCATATTATTAGGCCTAGCTGCTGGGTTGCTTTTAGTCATCTGGACCACGACATCACGGGGGCGAATGAAAAAAAAGAACAATACTAAGGCGTTACCCCCGCCGGAGGTGACGGGTGCATGGCCTCTGATTGGCCACCTCCGGCTGCTATCCGCCGGGAAGCAACCGCTGGCTCGAACATTAGGAGCGATGGCTGATGAGTACGGACCCATATTCAGCATCCGGGTCGGGATGCACCGGTCGGTCGTCATCAGCAGCTGGGAAACCGCCATGGATTCTTTCTCTACTAACGATAAGATCCTTTCCAATCGCCCATCTACTTGTGCTGGTAAAATCAAACCGCTCCCTAATATTTTGTTGATATAATGAGTGGGTGAAAGTATACATGTTTTTTTTATCGTAAACTTGTCCGTGAACTATGTATATCATAAGTTTCAGGATCATTACATCAATCAAAGAAAAAACAAATCTGACACTCACTAAACACCAATAAGTACGACTGTAAACCTTATGATCAGATTTAGATACGTTCACCCCTAAAAGAGCAACACGAATCGCTAAACATGCAACGAGCTTAACACAGCCATCCATGTTCTCATAAATCCAAACATACTCAATGACATGAAAAAAAGACTAAAATACCAAGCAAATTGACAAACCTACCCACATAGATGATAGCAAGAAACAAAATGACAAAATAATAAAAACTAATAGGAAAACTTTCACGAACTCTAGCATCTTGTACAACTCATGATGGTGGTTCAGGGGGAGGCCGGACCTTCGCTATGATACCAAAAATCTGGTTTAGGCATGCTTCTTGCACCTTGGGTCGAGCAACAACAGCAAAAGACATGTAACTCCAAATTCTTCGGCCACCCACCTGCAACACGCAAAAAAGAGTTCTGAATCCCAGAACTCCACATATAAAGCCTACGTTTATTAGACCAGTCTCTGAAACCGAAACCAATGGGGCGGATGAGAATTGAATCCCCCCACATCGCCGCTAGATCTCTTCGTCTGCTATCCCATCCGAGCGTCAAACATAAACTCTTCCGCCAGAAATCTGTGCGAAAGAGAGAGTACGATTGCCAATCCCCCCATCCGGCATCCCCCATCAAAGTCGTACCACCGAGCACAAAACGGTGCAAGCCGTCAGGCCGGAAATCCAAAAACCCTAGACATCAGCTAGGCACAGACCACTTTTTGTAAACCAGTGAACGTATATGTTAAAAATGCCACATTGACCATTTATAAAAATATCATTTTGAATGCCACAACTATACAATAAATGTCGTTTCACCTATACCGCACATAAATTACCTTGAAGAAGGTTTTAAAAAGGTAACCTTGATTACTAATAAAAATGTGATCTTGACTATTGTACATATAATAGGGAGAAACGACCTAAAAAAGTTTTGAAATTTCAAAATAGGATTATCATGTTTTTTATTCCTTGAATATGAGTAAATTTCTGCCAAGTTTAACATTACTAGGCTTTAAAACATGACATTTTTTCCCATGGAAGATTACTCCTATTTTGGAATTTTAAAACGTTTTTTCTCTTATTTAGAGCAATTTCTATATAATAAAGGGTTAATTGTCAAAAGAAGAGTATAGGACTAAAAACTCGTTACTTTGCACAAATAGGACAAAAAAGTACATTATGTTTTGATAGGACTAATTATGTGTGTGTTGGACACATATACCCTTGTTGCTATTGAAATGTTTTAATTCATATTAAAATAATAAAAAATAATAAAAATTCGTAAAAAAATACTAAAAAATTAATAAAATATTTAAATAATAATAATAAAAATTTTAAAAATTATTTTAAAAAATAAAAAAAAGGAAAAAAAAATCACCACCGCCTCTACCGCCTCAGCACCACCACCTCTAGTCACCAGAAGAAAAAATGCCACATCCATTAGGAATGGCATATGTATGGCAGATTCAAGTAAAATTTTGGCATTCTCAAAGAGTAATATGCCATTTTTTGGCATTTTAATAAAAAATGGCATTTTTTTACACCGCTCATAGGTGTGGTGGAGGGAGACAGTACAGGTGGTTAGAAAGGCATCCATATTTTTTTCATTTTTATGGAGTTTTACTGTTTTTTATTAATTTCTTTTAAAAAAATTCAAAATTAAAAAAAAACAATTTTTTTAAAAAACTAAAAAACGCTACAAAAATCACCTCTGCCTCTCCAGCACCACCATCTCCGGTCATCGGGGAAAAAAATACACATGCATTAGGAATGCCATATATATGGCAAATTCAATGAAAATTTTGGCATTCTCAAAGAGTAATATGTCCTTTTTGGGCATTTTAAGAAAAATGGCATTTTTTACACCGGTCGGAGGTGGTGGTGCAGGGAGGTAGTACAGGTGGTGGGAAAGGCATCCATATTTTTTTAATTTTTTTATGGAGTTTTACTGTTTTTATTATTTTTTTTTTAAAATAAATGTTTTTATTTTATAAATATTTTATTATTTTTTGATTAGTTTTTCTATGATTTGGTTAAATTTTTTCGAATTTATTATGAATTAAACATTTAATTATGACTTTTGACTACCTTTTACTCATATTTAAAGAAGGGGTAAGAATGGAAGGAAAAATTAGGTATGTTTCCAATAAGACTAATATGGTCCGGCCTATTTTGGAATAAAAACATAACGGGTTCTATTTTGTTTTTTGTCATAGTTTTACTCATATTTGAAGTAATTTCCGTATAATAAATTTACTTGAATTGGGGTTGGTTAGATACTGCAAAAATGTAACAATATCTAAATAGGAGCATATGAGTCCAAAAATGAGAATAAAACATTTGCACTCTTATTATATAGCTTGTGCAATTTTCATAAACATACATCGTCTATACCACATATTTTATAAAAAGTAGAACACAGTTTTTTTCTCCAGAATAATGCTAAACAAAAAATATTAACCAAATTAGGGCTGGGTTAAAAGTATTTCTCAAAATACTGTTGGGATTAATTCTTCATGTGTGATTTACTTCTTCATTAGCGCGAATTACATTTTCATATGCACAATATACATTTGGACTTGACTCAGCAAGTTACATTTGCATACAAGTGAGTTACATTTTCCATAAACGTACGAGGGTTACATTTTTCATAAGGTGATGATTTACATCACAAAATGAACTCCTAGTATTGAAATAAAATTGTTCACACGCGTTGTACATGCAGAATTATGATTTTTTTTTTAAAAAATATATACTTTTGTAGCTAGCCCTGATATTAAAATAAAACATATGTATTTACTATTTACGTACTATTTATGTACAGAAATTGGGCAATAAGACTTTATTTCATTGTTTACATTATAATCAATGTTTTATTTTATATACTCCATTAGACAAATTATTTACAATTATCAATGAGTTACATTTTTTACAGGCAAGTATTTTTTTTGAATGATTTGGATTTCATAACCGTTTTATCAATTATGATTTTGGAATTGAACTACATACGTTCGAAGAATTAAGTTTCTTAATGTTGGCACTCAGAATAAGATATTCTCAAAAAACTAAGAGTACTTAGACTACTTAAAAATATATACTAGTAGTGCTATTTTGACACCATATTAGTCCAAGTTAATTAGCTAATCAAGTCACATTAATTTTATTTTTATTAACAGTTAGAGTTGTTTCTTCTAAGAAATAATTCCCCAAATAAGAGTAAAATATGTAGGAAATGCAAAAAATAGGAGTAAGTTTTTAAAATTTCTAAAATAGGAGTATTTTTCAGACCTCGACAACAATACCATGCCTGAGCTGCCGTAGGAGCCATATCCGTTGTGCCACCCACCGATAAAAGTTGCTAGAATGCATTTGCCACCGGTTCGGTGCCTCCACTATCATCCATGGGATTAATCCGCCACCAATGACTCAATTATATATGCAAGTTAGAGGAAAATCAATTAGACTTCTTTCAACCCAATTGATCTGCAAAATCAACATTTTTAGTCAATCAATGTTAAAGTTAAATCCTCCACATTGATAAAATAAAGTTGCTTGACAAAAAATTGAAAATGCTTGACAAAGAAAGTTGACTTTGCAAATCAATTTGGGACGAAAATAATATTAATTAATTATATTAGGAGGATTATAGGTGGAAATTTAATGTTTAATCTTATTTAAGGAAGACGAGAGATTGACTCCAATCTAATTAAAGAGTAATCTAAAAGAATAATAAAGAGATTGTTTTAGTTGGGACAATTACGTACTTTAGGGTTGAGTTCAAATAAGAAGACATCTCAACGTGTAAAATAAGAATTAATCTCAATCGTCAAAATTGTCAATTCGAAGCACAAACTAACTCCTGTGTAATGCACTTACGAATAAAACTTATCTGATGCACTTTCGAAAAGTGCATCAGATATGGCTTATTCAAAACGTGCGTCTCATAAGTTGTATTGTTCATCAAATTGACTTTTTGAACGGTTCAGATTAATTCTTGTTTTACACGTTAAAACCTTTTTTTTTAATTTAATCGAGATTCTTACTTTGCTGCGGTGGTGCAGGAAAGTATATGGGCTATGAGTATGCAGTAATGCCATTCGCACATCACGGGCCATTATGGCGGAGCATGCGGAAGCTGGTGGTGGGAGAAATGCTCTCAAACAATACCCTGGAGAAACTAAAGCCTGTTTGGACGTCAGAATTACACACCAACCTCAAAGAACTCTACGCTAGTACCATAACAGGATCTGGGGCATCAAAGCCAGTGGACATAAGCGAATGGTTCAAGCATATGACGTTGAACTTAATCGTTAAGCTGATCAGCGGGGGGCGATATAAGTACAAGCCAAACAGGGATGCCACTGCCAGAGACGCCGACGATGAGGAGACAAGCCGTATGGGTAAAGCATTCAGCGAATTTATGCGCCTTACGGGGGAGCTTGTTCCCGGAGATGCATTTTACCCGACCGGGTTGGTCCGGTGGATGGATTTCGGCGGAGCGATTGCGGCCATGAAACAATCCGCTAAAGATTTGGATGATATCTTTCAGAAATGGATAGACGAGCATGTGGAGAGGAGGAGCTCCAACGCCGCCGCTAGCGGCGTTGAGGATGATCGGGACTTCATTGATGCTTTACTTTCCGTCACCGACCGGGAATTCGAGTCTGTCGGCAACTCTTATACTCGCGAAACCATCATCAAGGCGGCACTACATGTAAGTATCTCTTGATATTTGAATGACAAACATATCGGGGGTGTTTGGTTATTGATCTATCGGCCATTTTTTGGTTGATTTGACCACTATTTGGCCTTTTGACCAAATAAACAGCTAATGGAAGTGTTTGGTTAATTGGTTTTTTCATTCGGCTTTTTGTCTCAAACATCTAAACTTGAAAATATTGATAAAAATGGCGTTTAATAAAATTAATATTCTTTTCATATCTACCTTCTCCCAGCCTCCTTACACATCCAAGAGAAACCACTCCCACTACCTTCGTTCGGCTGTTTCTTACTTCCTCTTACTACCCATGCCCCTTACTTTCCGTATCTACCTTCTCCCAGCCTCCTTACACATCCAAGAGAAACCACTCCCACTATATTCAAATTTCTACATAAGAGAAAAAGAACACTACAGGAAGCAAGCATGCATTTAATAAAATTAATATTCTTTTCAATCATTTTTTAAAGTCATATGAAGAAGGTTCATGTTTCGTGCATTATATATTAAAATATATACTACTCCGTATGTACCTTTTTATCTCAAAATAATAACATCAATAATAATAATAATAATAATAATAATAATAATAGTAACGACAACATTATTATTATTATTATTATTATTATTATTATTATTATTGAAGCTATAAAATTATTTGATGTCCTTGATAGTCATTTAACAAGTTATTAGCTGATTGTAAATGGTCATTTAATCAAACACGATTTTACGAACCGCTAATATTATCAACCAATCAAAACAGCTAACATAATCCGCTATTATGAATCAGCCAACACAATCAGCTAACAGCTAACAACCAATGGCCAATTGCCAAACACCCCATCATATTTTCTTGATCATGAATATCATCTTATTTCTAAAAATATCACTCATTCACTTTTACTTTCACAACTTTTTTTTGTCTATCAAGTTGTACGGAGTATATTTTTATTCTTCAATATATATGTTATATTTTGAAAATTATACTTGGTCTTATTTTTGAATAGTTTTTGGGTTAATTTATTGTACATATATATAGGATGATAACCGACAAGTTATGTAGTTATAAAATGCAATTTCTGGTATACTACCAAAACATGAAAATAAAACTATCAATAAACATGTCATGACCAAAGAATGAGTATTTTTTGTTGACATTGTGATGTAAACTTTGAACCTAATTATAAAAAGATATTAGGTCAATTTTTTATCCACAATCCATATTTTGATCATATATTAGGTGTTACGGAGTATTTTGTTATACACTATCTATATATTATGTGTTTTTAAAATGCCTCATAAATTACAATTATATTTTCCCGGGTTAGAAATCCTTTTTGTAAATTTCAAACCACAAAAAAGAAGAGAATAAATATACTTTAATTTGATCTTAAGTTTTTTAATAAAATCTTATACTCCGTAATGGGTTAATATCTTTGTAATCAATAGTCAATAGTCAATACTCCCTTTGTCCCATAAAATTCTTCTCACTTTGACTTGGTATGGAGATTAAGAAAGGAATAAAGTGGAAATTTGTGGTTGTAGTTGTGTAAGAAAAAAGTGAAATGAATATAAACCACACAAATTGTCCATAAATGGTAAGTGGGAAGAATTTTTTTGGAACGACCCAAAAAGGAAAGTGAGAAGAATTTTATGGGACGGAGGAAGTACTATTTTTGTAAAGAAATACCGCTAAGCTAGCAAAGTAGTTAATGAGTAATAATATTTTCGTCAAGTACCTTATGATCTGATGACATCACTATGAAACTTCCAAAGAAGAGGTCACATGTTCGAATCTCATCCCATTTCAAGAATATTGGCCCATTTGATAACTATGGCCTTAGTCAAACTTATAAGGCCCATTTATATTTCACTATGGCCTTGGTCAAACTTATAAGGCCCATTTATTTTTCAATCACTTTTGCGCATAGAACAAATTTTAGGAAAATGTCAATTTGGTAACTACAACAAAATAATCTTTATGAAGGGAGGCTTGATGCTTCAATGCTTCAATTTAGGCGTTGTTATGTGATTTAGAGATCACGAATTCAAGTTTTGGAATAGTATCCTTATTAATACTCTGCAACTGCCTGTCACCACCGCTGCTTAGCTTGTTGCCTTTCTGTACAGAGTGTGCTAGTAGACGGAGCAGACACATTGGGCCTGAACTTGGAATGGGTTTTGTCCAATCTGCTGAACAACCCAATCGCATTGAAGAAAGTCCAAGAAGAGATAAACACCATAATCGGCGGCAATGAAAGATGGGTACAAGATTCTGACATTGAACAAATGGTGTACCTCCAAGCTGCGGTCAAAGAATCCATGCGGCTATACCCAACTGCACCTCTTCTTTCCCCGCACAAAGCCATCGAAGATTGCACAATTGGCGGGTATGCAGTCACTAAGGGCACCGTCGTGTATCCCAATGTGTGGAAGATACAACGGGACCCGCGAGTGTGGTCGGAGCCGGAGAAGTTCTCCCCGGAGAGATTTCTGGGGCATGTTGAAAGAGAGACTGATCCGGGCAGGTACTTTGGGTTCATTCCTTTTGGCTTCGGGAGACGATCCTGTCCTGGAAATTATTATGCTTTGAAAGTGACGCATCTCACCATTGCCCGTCTGATCCAGGGGTTTAACGTCACAACTCCGGGGAATATGCCGGTGGACATGTTGGAAGGGATATCCATCACTCTTACCAGAGCAAATCCACTCAAAGTGTTTATTGCTCCTCGACTATCATCTTCCTTTTATGAATAAGTAGTTTAAGTTGCCAAATGATTCTAAATAATATCCCACTCTCTGCTTGTTTAATTTGGTGCATGTGTAAATTATTTTAAAGCATGTTTTATGTACGTGCTTGTTGTTGTTCTCCTACCCATGAAAGAAGGGTTAATAAATTATTGATTGTTTCTCATTATTTGACTATGAGTTGCTCTTACACCGTGCATATTATATCATTGGAGATGCTCTTAGAATGATTATTTCAAGTCTTAAGTGGTCCTTTGATCATGAGACTGGCAAAGAAATTTAACTTTTCCTCTTTTATCATAAACTAGATTTTCACTCGCGCGATGCGCGGGATATTAAAATGTAATAGTGATACGACATTATTTTTAAATGTTATTTGGTTGTGTGAAATGAACGCAAATTGTCATATACGTAACATGCATAATAAATTATTATTATTAAGGATCGGATAGTGAAAACTCAGAGATAGATAACAAGTAAGTTTTGGAATAAGTAGAAAAAGCTAATCATTATATAGGGTTTCACAATCTACACATTGCAATCATAACTCGCAGACACAATAATCGAGAATCGAGTTGTTGAATCAATTCGTAGGTCAGAATTTGTAAGTGTAACACGCAACCCACATAATATACATCACAAAGCAATCCAATATGTAACAGTGTAGTACTGAGAATTCATAGATAGATAGGAAATATGTTTTGAAATTAGTAGAAAAAGCTCAACATTATGTAGGGTTTCACAATCTACACATTGCGAAAAACTTCTTTATAAACTACATTGGTGGTGTGGTCAGTTGGTTGGTCATCTTCACCGCAGATCAATATCTTCAATCCCTTAGGATTTGTTACTCTTGACACTGCAACATACAGTTGACCATGCGTGAAGATCGACTTCTTCAATAAAAGACCAACATGAGACAAAGATTGTCCCTGACTCTTATTTATAGTCATCACATAAGAGGTCATTACTGGAAATTGTCTTCTTTGAAACTTGAACGGTATTCTTGAATCTGAAGGTGTTAAGCTTAACCTCGGAATGACAACCTCATGCCCGGCATATTTTCCGCCCATAATTTTTGCCCCTAGGATGTGGTTTCCAAGTCGTGTAACAATTAACCTTGTTCCATTGCAAAGCCCCATCGAAGGATCAATATTTCTTAAAAGCATTATTGGAGTACCAACCTTTAGGGTTAACTCATGGTTTGGAACTCCAGATGCACGTATTTTGTTGAGAAATTCCGGAGTATGCAAATCAGCCAGAAAATCAGCATTCGAGTCTGACTTGCTAATGCTATCTAAACATAAATATGTCCTTGACTCTTCATTAATATTCAAAGAAGTCATGTATTCATTGATTGCATCGACAACATCAAGAGTTGGAGCCAGAATTGCACGCTCTTGCAAGTAAGTCGGGTCATTCACAATATTCTCAAAGTTTGGGTAGGTGCTCTGGACAATAGTGCCAATGGGGTCGCTTCCACACTCTAACAAAAACTCATTTGGGATTTTTACATTGGCAAAGCCATCATTATCTTCCCCTGCAGTCCCGTCCCCTAAACTCGCAATCCACTTTGCAAACTCAACCAAATCTTCATATTCACGACCATCAGTCAATGATTGCAACCTCATGTTCTTCGTCAAACGTAATACCAAACATTCATGCCAAATATACGAAGAATTAATCGTGGCATTCCCAATGTCTTGTCTAGTACCTTTTGCAATAACCGGTAAAATTTGTCTGAAGTCTCCCCCGAATACCACTGCTTTTCCTCCGAAGGGGTTTTCAGCACTATTTAAATTACTGAATCTCAAGATGTCCCGCAAACTTCTATCTAAAGCTTCGAAGCAATACTTGTGCATCACCGGCGCCTTATCCCATATGATCAGTTTGCACCGAATTATCAATTGTGCTAATGGACTACCTTGCTTGATGTTGCATGTGGAGTTTTCATTCGGGTTGATTGGTATTGCAAAGCGTGAATGAGCCGTCCTACCACCCGGTAACAATAAAGCTGCTATGCCACTCGAAGCAACATTTAAAACAATTTCTCCTTTGGACCTCAAAGCAGCTGACAACGTCTTCCACACAAACGTTTTCCGCGTACCTCCATAACCATATACAAAGAACACCCCACCATTATTTTCTTCAATAGATTGAATAATGGTTGTGTACACGTGATGTTGTTCATCATTGAGACTTTGCATGCATCTGTCATGCTCTTCACGTAGGGCAGCCCGATCGTACTGCAATTCGTCAAAAATAAGTCTGTTCTGATATAATGCAGCATTACTTATCGTGGGGAATGGCATTGATGGATAGTCCTTTAAAGTTCTGCCAATTCTCCTTAACATCATTTCTATTTCAGTCAATGCATAATTCTTAATTTCAGCCTCGGTCAACTTCAAATCTGATATAACATGTATGGGAAGAGTAATATCAAGTAACATGTGTAATATATAATGAATGGTTTTGAAAATATAAATACATATGTGTGTATAGGTATCTGTGTGTGTAATATATCAACGATTTAGTACCTGGATGCATTAAAGCTCTTCTTTGCCTGTGTAGAATGTCATCTGACATAAATGTCCAACACTTGTCCCACACATATTCTGGTCTACCCATTGTATCTGTTTCCAATAAAATCACAAACAACTTTCTAAGTAACCATGCAGTAGCCCAATAACTACCTTCTGAAAATCCTTCAACGTACTCCTTGTCATCGTCCAACAACCCTAAGGCGAAACATGCCTCGCGATATGTATTATGAATAATTCCATCCACAGTTCTAAGATCATCATAGCTTGTAGCTCCACGTCTCAAATTAAGGACACATCGCAAATAATAAGATTCTCCTGATCCCGGCGGCACATACGTTAGACGACCTAATGCAAACCCCTTTTTCCGAGGCACGAATTCTCTTGTTGCCGGTTTCCAGACAAACTTTTGAGGGAACTCGGCATAAGTTAAATCCCTTGCCTCGGGGTACTCTGCATTTGCTCTCATCCAAGCAAGAAACATACTCTCCTTAACAGATTCACGCAAGACAACGTCACTCACCGTTGCACCATCTTCAAAATAAACATACTGTTCATTATGGAAGTGAAAGCTCAAACGTTCAACACTTGGATTCTTATATTGAATTTCAAATCCAAAAATTCTCCACATTGCCTCACATGGAGAGATATACCGACAATCATAGTACAGTTTTATTTCATCAACAGGTTTCTCAGTGTCATCTTTACCTGTTGTTTCATAAAATCCCGCTGTGACATGATCATGTCCCTTGTTCACGTATTTGAATAAATATTTTATTGACCTCGATTGATTGCACCACTCTACATTAAGATGAGCACCATACCTCATCAATAACGACCTGTTGTGGGGAACAACGTATCTATTGTCAAGCGACACACCACTTCTGACAATTGTTCTTCCATCATTCCGCCTCCTATATTTAGGATAACCTTCTTCATCAACGTTAGTTTGCTCGTTGAAGTTCTTTGGGAAGTGCTTTGAACATTTAGACTGAACCATGCAACGGGCGTTCCTTGCATCACTGCCACATGGTCCGTGCATCATATGTGTACATACAGCTTTAAAATAATCAGGATCGGCCCTTTCATCAGGTATTTCAGCTGATATAATGCGGTCAATGTCTGCTGAGGTGGGGAATTTGTCTTTACTCCCCATGAATAATAATATATGAGCATGCGGTAACCCACGCTTTATGAGCATGAGGTGTAAATCACTGCGAGCAGTCAACATAACAATTATGTACACACACATACAAACATATATAACCATGTATTTATATAAATATAAATCTACACACATCATATTTAATATACCTGCTCGAATTTCACCAAATACCTTACATTGTCTTAGGTATTTGATCAAGCCATCCAACTTCATCTTAAACACTCGACAAACTATATCTGGACGATCTTCGGGATTCAAATTCCTTGAAGAAAGGAATTTAAGAATTTCAGGCCATTTTGGGTTACATGTGAAAGTCAAAAATAGATCTGGGTACCCTGCCCATCGACATATAGCCATGGCATCCTGATAATATTGAACCATGTATCGAGCACCCCCTACGAATGTCGGTGGAAGGACAACTCGCTTACCCTGTGTTGACGCATCTCTCTCACCGCTTAGCAAAGCATCTGATAGGCCTTTGTACATTTCACACCTGAGTTGTTTTTTATGGGTTCTAATATACATTAGCCTTGATGACTCAACCATTGTGTATCCATCGACTGTGAATTGTTGGAATAGTCTCCTATCTTAAGGATGAAAGATTCCGTTTTTGCTCGTTCATGCAATCTGTAAGCAAGAAACTCTCTAATACTAACACTTCGTCGACCGCATGTGTTTGACAACCTCTCATCAGAAAAAGCTATATCCTCCCTGTACCCATCATCACCATATGGAAACAAAAGCGGATATTGCAAACCCAGATATGCCGGATTTAGCTCATTTATTCTTTTCAAATAACCTCCTTGAGTTTCAACCATGATATCTCTTTGCCCAAGTGATTCATCAAAATCACCTACCACCAATGCCGCTACCTCTGAAACTGTCGGTAAATTATAAGTTTTGGCATCCTTAGTTCTCCTCCCTATTAGCTTAAGGGATACTTTTGTTTCCCCACCCTCAGCTAGTTTATCTCTGACCATTCTAAAGGACTTAACTAAAACGTTATGTTGGTCTAACATTTCCCTTAATGTAGTCACAATATGTGCATGCAAATTGTTCTTCTTTTCATCATCCCTAAAATGATTTAACCAAATAAAAAAAAATATCATATATTTCTACCTAACAACATGTGTGCACGATTATATATGCTTATGAGTTTTAAGGTTATAAAATTACCTCACTGAGCTCAAACGATTAACATCTTCATTTTAGGTGCCATATATATATAGCTGTGCAAATTTCGGCACACTTCCTTCATGGGGTAGCAAACTCCCAATGAGGTGATAATTTTGACCACCTAGTTTAAAGATTGGGGGAGATCCACCCCTGTTCATTGTTCTATCTACCCTTCCTCCCATGGAAGTGAACGAAAACATGCTGTTGTATGAGCGAATATTATCCTGAAAGTGCTTAGAAACCGAATCTATGCCATGAATGAATTGTTGTAGTTCCAATGGAGGATCCTTTAACTGTGGTAATTTAATTTTCCATTGAGTGCAACACAAAGAATACTTCGGGTCTTT